TAATCATTTGACAGCGAACGGAAATTGCGCTTAATTGCCAGCATGTTGAATTTTTCATTTGATTTTTACCCTTTTTAGTTTTTGGTTTTTATCTGCTCTTTGTCGGATGTCGTGTTCGGATAATTGCGCTTAAATAAATATTTGCCTGATAATTGCACGAATTGTTTGTTATTCTCTTTGCTGGCCCCTCCAGCGCCAATCGCTTTGTTGGGATAATTGAACTGGGCCAAGGAGTTTGCACAAAACGATTAAAAGAAAGCGACAGCGAGGAGGCCGAGTGAAAGGATTCGTCAGGCAGTCCACAACACTTTCTTTTTTGATACACTTCAGTCCTCAGTTTCCCCATGTGTACCTATAAAATGGTACTGAAAATATTCAATTAAACATAAAGATGCTTCTATACAATGAGAAGGAAGTCCCCTGCAAAGTGATCGTAGTAGGATTGCTGGGAAAGAGTATTCCCTGGGCGCCTTTTCAACAATTAACCGAGGCCCATGAACGCCTAAAAGACGGCATGCGAAAATTCAAGTGTTTGTTTTAGCTTCGTTCTTTTGCAACGATTATATTCAATAATTGTGTTCATTTAGATAAGTTACAAGCCTCGAGGGCCACAGACAAAGCGAACCGCTGCACAGCGAAGCTCTGGGCCTGGGTCTGTGCCTGGGCCTGGGTCTGGCCTGACTGCTCAAATGGAGGCCAGTCACGCCATCGTCAGTGCACCCTCCTAGACCACGGGCTGGCACTGGGACTCAGACTGTTAGTAGGACAGGGACCTGGTGTGTAGGTGTTGAAAGTGGCTGCAGGCACCTGCCACACACAGCCACGGAGCCCAGATTGGGGACTGTGGAATCGCTGTGGCGAGGAAGTGGCGGCCAGTGGCGGGCAGTGGCGGGCAGTGGCGGGCAGTGCGGGGCCTAGCAAATTGGCTGGCGCAGAAATGTGTCGGAAGTCTTTAGTAAAAGTTAAATAGAAAGCATATAGAAGATTTATATGCCAGTCCCAGCTATAGTTATGCAAATTCTTGTAGCCGCTTCAAGATTATTTAAAGCTCCAGTTTCAGTTACAATTTAGGTTTATAAACGGTTGCTAACCCGTCCCAAGAAATGGCAAATAATTTCGGGAATTCGCTTGCATACCTCCTATAATATTCCTATACACCCCAATATACATATATGTATATCTGCTGGATTAATTGGTGTAGTGTCCTGTAGTTCCCTGGCTAAACGTTATATGAAAAACCCTATGGAAACCCCTACAAAATCCTCCAAAAGCAATCCCTGACAAACCCTGGCAACCCTCTCCGGTAATTGCCATTCACGTACGTGTACGATTTTAGTCCTTCGAAACTTCGAATCATATATCTGATTTTGTATCTGATGGAATCAGCTGCCAAACGCTTTTCACAGCTCAACGGCAGCGGCAATGTCCTGGGCCTGGTCTAATCCCCTGCGCAAGGAAGAAAGAAATTAAAACATTTGTTGCCATTTTCTATCGGCAGCCTTCAATCTAGGCAATTTGTCAATGGGCCGGCCAAGAGATTAAAATGCGGCAAAGGCAAAAAATAAAATGCTGGCCGGAGCAGGAGAGCTGGAGAGGATTTGTCGATTGAGATGTGAGCATGCTTATCAGTGATGAGAATATGAGCGGCGCTGGAAAAGGACATCAGTGGGCCAAGGACCTGAAGTATTTGTCACATTAGTCGCGGCATTATCGCCGCATATGCGAGCGGGGATCTGATAAGAAGCCATCCCAGCCCAGCCCAGCCCTGCCCATCCGATCCGATCCCATCTGAGCCGATCATCTGTTTGAGGATGATGCCAATGCAGCAGAAAATCTGGCGGCTGCCTCTTCCCCCCCATCTCCTCTCTCCACTGCTACTGTTTGTTTTTGTATTGGCCCTGATGGTGGTGGTGGTGGTGCTGCTGCTGATGCTGATGTTGGTGGTGGGTCTGGGCTAATACAATTTTCCAAAAATATTGTTGTTGTCAGTGTAATTGGCAGGATATTAGCAGGGGTTGTCCTGCCGCTTCCCAGTCAACGGATTACGTTGGGCATTATGAGCAAATTAAGTGTGAAGTGGCATTTGAGATTTACTCACACACACACACACGCACATAAATAGGACGAGGGATACTCAGGATGCTGATGCTGAGGCGCTTAGCGAGTCCTAGCACTTTAAAGTCCAACACAAAACCGAAAAACTAACAAAACAGGCCCGAACAAAGGCGACACACAAAAAGTCGACGAAAAGCGTCACATGTCAAAGACTCTTAGTCATTTAGATCCCCTCGTCCCGTCCTTCGTTCCATGGGATCCTTGGCCCAATAACAAACTAACATTTAACCCCAGGCTCAGGCGTTGGCACAGGCATTGGCCCAGGACAAGGACAAGGAACAGGGCCAGGAACAGGGCCAGGGCGGCCCCAACTTCCATCCCTCATCCAGCCAGCCAGCCAGCTAGCCCATTCACCCACTACTCATCGGAGCTGAGCTTATCATTTACACTTAACGGCTCAGCAGCTCAGCAGCACAGCGCGGGCTCGGGCTCGGGCTCGGCCCACCCTGGCACGTGCCGGGGCATTATTAACCGCAAAATGCTCATAAAGGATCAATTTGTGCGCACACGTGTCGGGATAATGCCCCATGCACTCTTCTTCCTCGTACAGTCCGAGTGGACTGGGGCTGGGCAGGGCAGGGCAGGGCAGGGAAGACAAAGCGTGAAGTGCACATAAATCAAAGCAACGGCTGCCAAATGGACAAAGATGATGACAGACCCGCCTAAGGGGCATGCAGCAGATAGACAGACAGACAGACACGAGCTGCACTTGGCCCCGAAGAATATGCAATTTAAAGTGTCGCCATCTACACAATGGAAATCATTAAACATGCAAAGGACCAAAGGACCAGACCCTAGGACTGCGAGTGTGAAGTAGAGGAAGCTCCTGCGATTTATGGCCGCCGATGGAGATGGAGTAGGGTTTCGTTTAGAGAAGGAGAATGAGTTGGTTTTCTACTCAACGAATAGTACAAGTTTATCCCAAATTAGCCATAGCCAAAAGAATATGGAGTAAACCATCGAAATTATTAATAATATTATGCTAATATTTGATAACTGCTCTTTCCCGGCAGTGAGGTTCTTAGAAAACCTGGTCGAAGAGGTACAATTGCACATAGTTGCCCTGGATGACAGCCACCTCCCCTCTCGCAGCTCATATAATTTTATAACAATTTATAAAATCCAAATCACTAAACGAACCAATGAATTCTATAAATGTGCATTTTCTATACTACTCGCCATGCTTTCGTATAGGCACTGTATGTGAATACATCCGAATATATCACAGCTTATTAATATGTATATGTATAATAATATATATTATTAAATAAATGTAATATATATTTAATGCTTAAGAAATAAATATGTAAAGAATGAAAGGCGGATACCCGAAAATTCCATCTGATTGAGTCCGCAAAATTTGATTTTTCCATTTGATTTTTTGGTAGAGATCAAAACATAAATACAAAGAAAACACTGTATGTTCCAAAATGTATTTGACTTGTGAGACTTGGCTTCTAGAACTGTTGCATGCAATAAGCTGTGAGTCATTGTATGTACTCAATACCAAAACCGCTTGGGTTATCGATAACTTTCAGGGCTGCTTTTGAGATGCTCAAATTTTTTACTGAACTCAACAAAATATTACCTCTTATTGTGCAGAGAGATGGTAAAACTAATTCATGGGTGAAACGAGGAAAAAATCGCAAGCGGTAGCCCAGCAATAATGACAGCCGCCTGTATACAACATAACCTAACTCTTAAAAAAAATATACTAGAAAAAAAATCACGGTATGTTATTTCGGAAGTTGGAGCCTTCGCCGTTTATCCAGAGATTTAAAAAAAATAATACCTCGAATGACGCTTAATAAACGTTCCATTACGAATAAAATATAAAATATATATTCTATTTTGTTTTGACTTTTCGTAAGTTTCGTAAAATAAATAGCGCAAAAAATAATTCTTTTTGTATTTTAAAGCTTCTTCTTTCCTAGATGATAGACTTTAAAACTAGGTGAGCTACTAGGTACTAAAGTTTTATCGAAAAATGTAAGCTTACCTCTGAAAGAAAACATAAAAATATAAAAGCATATGTTTATTAAGTTCATTCAGTTAAGTTTATTGATAGCTGTATGACATTTTATTTTGCCCGACTAGTTTGCAAAAACAGAGACAGCCTTATTGGAAAAACAGGCAGTGAGAGCGAGAGATATTTATGCGTCCAGTTGGCTTTTCAATTGTGCCACAAATAGTGCCTCGGATAATCCGGGACACTTGTCTATCATGCTATTCCTCTCGTCGCAGCCTGTTCAAGGCTCTTAACCAACACTAGAAATGTTACACGCGAGTGCCCATATTGAAATCTGACATTTGCAAATGTCAACTCGACACGTGGTCTCGCTGAAAATCTGTGCGGTGTAATAGTTTGTATATCCGAATGCGATAATGAGCTCGTTTGCCTATTTCGAAACAATCGCCCATCTCATTCCGCCGATTCGGCCGACTATGGAGCACGTGCTCATATGCTTGAATCTAACGCCAGAGAAGATGGATGCAATCAATGAGAGCTACATTTCCGACGCAGATGGCTACGGGGTTCAAGTTCGGCTCTACATTTGGGAAGGTTCAACCGCCCCAACGAACACTTTTCCCGACAACCTGGTCGTCCAAGTGAACGCGCAGCCGTGTGTCGTGCCTGAAACTGTGAGTCTGATCCGTCGTAGCTCGTTCGGTAAACTATTTTATGTTTTATTTCCCCACAGCAGCAGCCCATAGACATTACCGCCAATTTGATACTTGAGCAGTCGCACAACTCCAACAAAATATCGGTGAAATGGTCTCCTGACGACAGTCGCATCTTTTTTATTTCAGTGCTTTTGGTCAAAAAGCCTTCCGTCAATCAAATGGTAGATCTCATAAGGAACGGACGCATAATGGCAGCAGAGAGTGTTCAAAAAATGTGTATGTTGTTACGGAATTGTGTCGAATTTGAGCTAGCTAAATATTCAGATAGTTTTGCTAGACGATGCCGTCCGCATGACGCCCCACATGCCCACGATGATCTCCCTCAATTGTCCGGTGAGCATGAAGAAGATTCAGGTGCCCTGTCGCGGGCTGAATTGTTCGCACTTTCTGTGCTTTGACGCCGGTGCTTACATCGAAATGAACGAGCGTCTGAATACCTGGGAGTGTCCAGTGTGCCACAAGGGGGCCCCTTTCGAGGATCTCGTTATAGACGGGTATGTAAACTCTTTCATTCATTGATTATGAGGAAATTCTGTTTCATTTTTCATCAGCTATTTTTATCATATCCTTAATTCGGGGCTACTGGGGACTGGCGACTTTGAGGTACTGGTCTACAAGGATGGCTCGTGGTGTGCTCCAAGCTCATTACTCCACAAAAATATTCTGCCCATTACATATATTACAACAACATCACTAACCAATATTGAAGATGATATTCCACATTCCATTTGAGATCTGATAGTATCAATATCATGTTTCACATCCACCGTTTGTACATCCATTTTCCATACAATGTGCATGCAAAATACATATACTCATAACATAGCAATCACAAATGTATGTACTCGTATTTTTTTAAGGAATAAAGATGTCGGAATCGCCGGGATAATCACATGTGATTTCGTCGCTGAACCGTTTGGAATCGCAAGGGCGACACCCATCCAAAGTGGCGACCCACCGGAGCAACCCTTGTTGATTTTCCTGCTTAACCGAATTGTGGTTGCTGGCGGCTGCTGGCGCTGTGGATGCTGCTGTGGCTGGTCCACCCACAAAAATGTGCGGCTAATTGGATGTCTATGTATGGCGGGAAGCGGATTGCTCTGCCTGACTGGGCGGCTGGAGTGGGAGTGTGTGCGTGTGTGTTTGTGTTTGTGTGGCAGGTCTTTGACAGTCGGCGGCTGATTTCCATGCAAATTGATGTTACAGCACAGTAAGCAGGCAATATTTCTGCTTCATTTCATAAATGCGTCCAGGGCCAATACACCAGTCCCCAATCGCAAGTCCCCAACGGCATCCATCCATCAGCTGGCAAAGTTTGCATATCAAACGTTTCCACGAGGAGGCTGGGATGTCATTGCTGCTGGTGCTTATGATGGTGACGATGACGGCAATGGCGATGGCGATGGCGCTGACGATGGCGATGACGGCAGTGGCATTGGCAATGGTGAGGCGGCTGTTGACGTGTTTGCTGCTCTTCCTTAATTTATACATGAATCTACAGCCAATTTGTTTAACTCGCAATTTCGGTTCAATATATACATATGTATACATACATAATCGAACAAATATCTACATATATGTACATACATATTTATGTGCATATGTCCATGTACCTACACACTCTTATAATTTGTATAATCGAATTTAAGCGGATCGAGAGCTGTGATTTTTTGTAAGACATATTAAGTTTAATTATATTCAAGAATAAGGATGCCCTGTTTCTTTAGCTGTGGTCTCCCCATCAGTCCATGTTGTCTAATACATAATAAAAACGAACGTTGTGAGTTGCTGCTGCGACCGCAACTCTACATTTATACCCGATACAGAGTTAGTATGGCTCTCCTCCTCCAGACGGCGCTAATATTGAACGACACGACAAAGTGTGCGTGCGAGAGAGACAGAAAATCAGTCTGAGCATGACGTCACGCGCTGCGTAGCCACTGCAAATTGATTTGTTTCCTTTGGCTATAAAAATGATCTGATCTGATCCAGATTCAGCAATCAGATAGATATGGTCGTTAACTATGATTCTGCGTTTTTAATTTTCTCGAATGTGCAATATTGTGGATGCAACAGATTTTCGTCTTTTGTGGGGGCGGAAGGGGGTGGGCGAAATTCTGAGATATACGTTTTATAGTGAGATCTAACAGAAGTGCGGATACCAAATTTGGTTACTCTAGCCTTAATCGTCTCTGAGATTTATTGATGCCCCAGATTTTCGTCCTTTGCGGGGGCGGAAGGGGGTGTGGCGAAATTTTGACACAAAACGGTCAAGGTCCGATATCACAGGAGTGTGGATACCAAATTTGGTTGCTCTTATGGGTTCTGAGATCCTTGAACTCATATTTTGCAATTGGCAAAACCGACCATGAAACCTGTGTGTTAGAGAGAGACAGAGCGAGAAAGAATGAAATTGTTTTCTTGTTTCTGGCTATAATAATTATACGATCTGGTTCAGATTTTGCATTCTAGAAGATATAGTCATCCTCTACGTATCTTTGAAATTATGGATGCCACCGATTTTCGCCCTTTGTGGAGGCGGAAGTGGGCGGGGCGAAGTTTTGAAATATTTTTGTAGCAGTGACACAGAAGTCTGGATTCAAAACATCGTTGCTCTAGCTCCTATAGCCTTTAAGCACTAGGCGCTGAAGGGGACGGACGGACGGACGGACGGACGGACGGACGGACGGACGGACAGACGGACAGACAGACAGGGCTCAATCGACTCGGCTTTTGATGCTGATCAAGAATATATATACTTTATGGGGTCGGAAACGATTCCTTCTGGACGTTACACACATCCACTTTTACAACAAATCTAATATACCCCAATACTCATTTTGAGTATCGGGTATAAAAATACTGTTCATTAAAATATCTCTAAACTCTAGTCAACAGACAGACACGGGCCTCCATTCCCGCCTATGTTCTAGACCATGCATCCGACTCTCTGATGTTCATAATAAATATATCCTTGATCAGCATTAACTAACGAGTCTTTATAACCATGAAATGAATTTATGTAGATCTATCTGTGTTGTATTCTATCATCGAAATTCCAGGGTATCGGATTGGGTAGAGCTTTGTGCAGAGGCTTGCCAATACTATTGTTGGGCTAATGTCCTTGTGCTACCCAGAAGAAAGCCGCCCCTCCGTTCCCGTCACAATTTTTGTTGTTTGGATCAGAAAATTGTTTTAGCTGCTTTTTTATTGCTCGCAATAATTAGCAAACGGGCAACCTACTGAAACAGCGATCGTGTTTAATTGAGCGTGCCCCGGCAAGGCCAGAGAGTTTCTGTTTTGTGTCATTTGTCTTTAATGAAAGGTTGCCCTCTGGCCAAGCCAGACCAGAGACCAGACCGGAGACCAGAGCAGAGCAGAGGCAGGCCGCTTATTGTGTTGTTGTCATTGTTTCATTGTCCTACCAAGCGTCTCTTTTGTTTTAAGCCAACAGCAATTTGAACATTGCGGCCAATTTGTCGATGAAGGCGCAAAAACACAAGAAACGGCAGAAACACAGAACAAAACACGCGTGCTGGTGTCCCCATGGGCAGGAACAGGGACAGGGAAAGGCACAGGGACAGGGAGAGGGACAGGGACAGGGACAGGGACAGCAGCGACTGCTGCATACCCTAAACGGCGAGCGATCATTAACCATGAACAGATGCACTCTTCTGACTACTGGTACAGACTATTCCTGGACATGGAACATGGACACGTTTAAGTACATGTTCGACACTATTTTAAATATGAAAATAATCTACATAATCTACTAGTTCTTTACTATTTTGGATATCTAAATGCCACCCAATGAGTAGTTAATATTTACTGATTCGTGGGACGATCAGATCTTACATTTAAAGCGGAATATCATCTTCAATTTTCCTAAACAGAATACGCTAAAGAAATCTTCATTGTGAGTCCCGAATAATGGTCCTCAATGCCAATACGCCTAGGAATTCAAGGATTCATCGCTCTCCATAGAATACTCACGGACCCACTTAGCGTGGGTTTCGATGGGTTCTACTCTACCTTGGTTGGCCGTTTTTCGCCCTCTCGGTCCTCTGGGTCGCTGCCAGTCAGCTGTCCGGGTATCCTTGGCTCTGGACTTCAAGGATCGTTTGGCTGGACTTGCCTGCAGCGCTGCTTGCATGCGAGCACGCAAGGCGTTTGGGCCGGCGAGGCAGGGGGGAGGGGACATGGTCAAAGCTGTTCAAGACAACCTTTCCTGTCCTGTTCCCCCCGTCCTGGCTGTCCCGGCTGTCCTGCTGTTTTGGCCAACTGGTGGCCAACGGCAGTTATTCAATATATCAACTTTTTGGCCTAATAAATGCACTAATTGCGGTTAAATGCATTTTGCATGCAATTATTATCATTAGGGGTTGGCTCGCACGTCGTCGTCTCTTTCCTCTCCCTCTCCCTCTCCCCTGCCATGCCACCACCCTCCATCGTTTGTAAATTGTTTCTGTTGGTCATTATTTTAATTGCCCCCGGGGCACGTTGGTGGCAAACCCACCCCCACCCCCACCCCCAACCATTACCCCAAGGAGCGATGCTTTATTTTCAGATTATTATCTTTTATTTAGACAAAAAATTATATATAGACAAAAAAAAGTCGAATACTTTACATATTACAATTACAACGATTATAGAACTAAGCTAAAAAAAAAATTTCTTTCATATTTCTACCCGAACATTAACATTTAGTTGTTGCTGCTGTTGTTGTTTTTGTTGGTGATAATACATTTTGTGGTTAGGCTTTTGCTTTCTTTTTTTGGCTGCTAATTTTTACAACATTCAAATAAATTAATAGTATTCTACATCATTTTGTTCACGATTATGTTACATAGTATAAAAAGAGTTGTTTTGTGAATAAATTACTTAGATCAAATCAAATAAATAAGGCAAGCACACACACACACACACACACATATACGGTTATATACACTCAGACACGCACGCACACAGAGAAAAGCGCAAGGGCCAAGGGCCAAGGGCCGGGGGGCTATGCGGAGCTGTGGATTCGCAATTCGGAGACTATTCATGAATTCAAATCATTTGAATTGTGGGATTTTAAATTGTCTTTAACGAAGCAAGTTTTTCAAAACGTATCGCAATCTTTTGGTTTGTGGAATCGAAGCCATTAGGCAATGGCTTGGAATATATGAAAAATGAATATGAATGGGAGCTTTGTTGGGAAATAAATATAAAAATGTCCAGGAAATACATACAGATGTGAGCATTATGATCTTACAAAAGGTATAGCACTCGAATTGCATTTGCATTTGAGCTTTGTGTGGCATGGGGATGAAATATCACGATCCGGCCCCGCATAACCCCACTAATACACACAACACATACAGATACGAATGCGGGATACAAAAGCACACATAACACACACACACACACACATATGTAAGTACATGTCCATTTAGCTCTCCGAAGCCACTGCTTCCTCTCAGACCTGGATCTGATCCTCGTCGTCCGACTGGGCCTGCGAGCAACTGTCCACCGAGCGTCCCGGCGGACTGCCCGGATTGAGCGTGGGGCTCGGCGTCGAGGGCGGATGCGGTGGCGATGCGGAAGCGGAGACGGAGACGGAGGGGGGTACGCCGAGCATGGGCGGGCTGCTGGCCAACGGCTTGAGTGGGCCGCCAGGGGCCGGGACCGAGGACGCTGGCGGCGGACCATTGGCGGCGGCTGCGGCAGCTGCTGCATTCTGGTAATAGCTGCTCAGGGACGACAGCGAGCTTGATGCGGACAGGTGGGAGAAGGGGGCAGTGGAGGCGGAAGCGAGCGGACCGACACTGGGCACGCCGGCGTACAGGTTGTAGGGCAGGGGCTTCTGCATGGCGGCGGCAGCGGCTGCCTGGCGGTAGTAGATGTCGATGCTGGTGTGAGGCGTTGGCCCGTGCGCGGCGGCCGCAGCGGCCCCAGCGCCGGCCGCAGCCGCATACGGCCAGGCGCCCAGGTACGGAGATCCCCCGTACAGCCGCTGGAAGGCCGCAAAGTTTCCGGCCTCGGCGAGCAGCTCCAGACCCACCGCCGTCTGGCGCTTCCACTTGGTTCTGAGAGAGAGAGAGACTGCTTTAGGGTGGTGCTCGCATCGGGGTCACCAGGTGGGGAGACCTACCTTCTGTTCTGGTACCAGGTCTTCACCTGGCAGTCGCTCAGATCCAGCTTGTGGGCCAGCTCCTGGCGCTCTTGAACGCTCAGGTACTTCTGCCGCTCGAACGACTTCTCCAGCGTCTGCAGCTGGTGGTCGGTGAAGGCGGTGCGGGCCTTACGCTGCTTTTTACTTAGTCCGCTCATGTCGTTGGTGGAGCCGCTCTTGATGCTGTTACCATCATCGTCCTTGCCACCTAGAAGAAAGAGTCGAGCATTATAGCAAATACAAACATACATAGGATTTGATTCAAAGACAACATTTATCCATTAAAATAATACTGGTATAATAATGATTTCTTCTAAAAACCCCCTTGATGTGTTTTTGGAACAACGCTTTTCATACAAAAGTTTCCCAAGCAATTCATGTAATTACATTAGATGCAATTGTCAGCCAGTCACTACAATCTTCTACAAGGTGATGCCATTCAAAGGTCTAAAAGGTTGTACTCAAATTCGTATTAATCATCTCATCCTTCGATCTATGAAGGGAAGGTCCTGCTTGGGCCAGCCAGCTTACGGGAAATGTGTGTATACTCGTAGTTCATGGCCAGTCTTCGCATCCCGGGGCCAGTCGCAGTCGCAGTGGCAGTCGCAGTGGCTGTTGCAGTTACAGTTAGAGCCTCGTTTATGGCCACGCAATTGCCGCTTCCGCTCACAAAGCGGTTGCCCTCCGTCCTGCCCCGCATCGGCGCTTCGTGTATGCAAGTGTAATAAAAATGTGTAGCAAAATGTCTAAACTTGCCCCAGCAGAGAGGGAGCGTGCTCACCCCTTTGCCGTCGTCTGAGAGGTTTCTTTAGGCCCGCTTTTCCACCTTTTCCGCGAGTTCCGCGAGTTCCGAAGCCGCGGGGCCAGGCGCTGCTCGTTTGCCTTTTAGTACATAGAATTTATGTAAATTCATCCGATTGCGGTTCGCCGATAAGCGAGAGCCAGTTTTTTGGGCCACGGTCAGGAGGGGCTCCTCACGCGGAAAACTCTCAAGCGTTAAATTATTTAAAACGAAAATTTGCCAAGTGCCACACTCGGAGGCAGTCAGAGGTGCTCAGCGCGGTGTGGCGGGGTGAATGGGCTCAGCGAAAGACGAGAAGGGGCTCTGCAGAGGCAGAAGACGTTGAAGAAATCAGTATTTTGCCAGAAATTGAAATAGCTTTCAATTGATATTATGGCTAGATTTAGAATTATTTCCAAAACTGGAAATTATCCCCCATATGGCCTAGAGGGAACCCCCTAAACAGATAAAACTAAGACGATAAATGCCTAATTGCAACGATAAATAAGCGACAATAATGCAATTGAATAAAACTCATTTACAATTACAGCAAATTACTCACGAATGCTGGAATTGCCGCCTCGTTAGTTTATTGATTTGCAGGCGATAATTTGCCGAGCAGCTGATTGACATTTCAGAGAAAGCGTTTTCGCAATTAAAACGAACACTAAAGGTCAATTAATCGCAAACAATGCTTGTTGCCATCAGAAAAACACTAATTGAATTACTATGGACCCGGACAATTCCGAAAAATGGATTTGAAAAGCTGCTAGCAGATTTCCAGTGTTTCAAAAAGGTGCATTAATATTTCTTAAAATTCAAATTATTAATATTTTCGTCCTTCGACTTTCCTCGATTCCATCGGCAATCGAGCGACGAATTCAGACGAATTGATGGATTCCAGCTTTCTCTGCCTGGAGGCGAATCATTTAGCCCCAGAGAGAGAGAGCGATAGAGAGAGAGAGAGGGGGCAGTGCAGTCCCAAAGGGAGTGAGAGGGAGTAGTGGACGCGACTACCGTTTATAAAATTGCAATTGGCAACAGGAAATTGCCGTAATAAATGCCACAAAACAGAGACCAGATGCAGCCGGCCTGGCCCAAAGAGCAGTGCCAGAGAGCCAGATGAGCGGCGAGCGAGTGGAGATCGGAGTGGAGTGTGGGGTCTGGGGATGAGCAAACAGACTGCAACATTTTTATCTGTTTTGCTGTTGTCGTTGCAACAGCAATAACTGCTGCCATGGGGCATCTATTAAAAGGGTTAAATGCATTTTTATAACAATTTCCACAATTAAATGATTGTCAGGGACGCAGAGAGGCCATGTGTGGGGCAGTGCGTGAGAGAGGTACACACACAGAAAGAGAGAGGAACCGCCAGATAGAGAGAGAGAGGGAGCGAGAGACATGTAATTATTTGAGATTTGTTTTTTGCTGCGTTTTTAAACAGCATTTTGTTGCTGCTTTCCCCCAGAGAGCCGCCAGCTCTGCCCTACCCCTCGAAAAGGCCACGCCCCCCACTCTGCCATAATGGGCTGTTGCAGTGCAGGTGCATGCCCCCCAACGGGCGGACTGGGGAGCCAGAAAGGGGGGCCTCAGAAGCTTCGCAATGACGCAAACAAAGCGTGAAAATGTACGTTTTTTTTTTTTCTGTACCACAGCCGCAACATCAGGTGGAAAAACTACCAAAGCGGCAGACTCGAGAATGTAAAACGGTCATGCAATCGTTTTTACAGTTTGTTTTCCAAAGCGACATCAAAACAGCGCGCGCGCGCCCCAACAGCCCCAACAGCCCCCCCTCTTCCCCATGGGAAGCGCCTCACGCCTAACAAAAGATTTAGGCAACGAACTTGAATCTACGAGTAAGTACTTGGGCCTCAATTGATTTAGTTTTGATTTCCATACAGCACTTGCTGAACTACAGTACGTTTCGAAACCATATACTCGGGCTTTGATCGCAGGGAAACTACTCAAATCGTACGAGCAGAAGTCAAGCGAAATATACAATTGGGTTTCCTTAATATTCAGCTCAAGGTACTGCAGATGGTCTATAGCGTTATTATTGTTAAAATAGTTTGAATAGCACAGACTGTATTTTAATATTTAACCCTGGAGAAGTGGTCTCTCTGGGAGAGCTATATGCTGTAAGAAGCTCTGTGATGACTCCAACTTCCACGCTAGATATTATAGATCTAGGGTCTCCCTTTCCCAGTACACGGGAAACCCTGAGACTAGGTTTTCCAACTACTACTTCATCGAAATTATTTGGTCATGTTTTCCATTAATATTTCACTTCTTCTAGTAAAAGACTGTTCTGAGGACTATTTGAAACTTAAGAAGTTGCAGCACAAAAATGACACTCCATCAATAATGCGGCTATCTGCAGGTTGTTGCCTGTAAAATCTTGTGCTCTAGACCAACTCCCGTTCCCCCCAGTCCCCAAATAGTACAGAGGCTCACCTCACCATTACTACAAACGCTGTGATCGTCCATGTGTCCGCTGCCACTGCCGCCGGCGCCTCCATTGCGGCTGCCCGCCTCATCGCTGTCGCAGTCCTCGTTCTCCTCGTGGTAGTCGCTGCTATCGTCCAGCTCTGCGCCCGTCGGTGCACCCACAGCTCCGCCACCCACTCCAGGGCCCACTCCAGCTGCGGCTGCTGCCGCTGCTGCGGCTGCGGCGGCGGCTGCTGCTGCTGCATTGTTGCGTGCTGCGGCGGCGGCGGCGGCTGCCGCGTAATGCTGCTGCATGGCCGCCGCATACTGGGCTACGTTGAGGCCATTGGAGCCCATTTGGGTGGCGGCGCCACCGCCACCGACACCGCCACTGCCGCCACCGCTGCTGCCGATGCCGACCGACGGGGCGAAGTGGCTCAGCTTGGCGTGCGGATGATGCACCAGCGCATGCGGATGCGGATGCTGGTGCGAGTGCTGGTGCTGGTGCGGATGCGGATGTGGGTGATGTAGTGGCAGAGGGGCGGCCACTGTCGGTGGTGCTGCGACGGCTGCAGGTGGTCCAGCTCCCGTTCCCGCTACCGCTGATCCCCCCGATGCTGGCGGGGCTATCGCTGTCTCCAGGTGCTCCAGCTCGTTGTTGTTGCTGTTGCTGTGGCTGTGGGTGGGACTGCTGTCCCCGCTGGAGCTGGAGTTGTTGTTGTTGTGGCTGCTGCTGTTGTTGTTGTTGTTATTCTGGTGGTGGTGGTGGTGCTGCTGCTGCTTGTAGAACGCGGCCGCTGCACTGCCCGCCAAGATGTCGTTGATCATGAACCGGGAGCGATTCGGCTTGAGGTTCGACGAGGTGGTCGACATGTTCACCGCCGGCGGCTGCAGGCCCGGGTAGTGGTGGTGCAGCGGGTGGTGGGGGTGGTGGTGTTGGTGGTTCAGCTGGTGGTGGGCCAGCGCGTGCAGCGGGTGGGGCAGTCCGTGCAGCTGATGGTGCAGCTGTGGATGGTGCACTGGGGGCGTCTCGCTGGGCGACTGGGTGAGTATGCCCATCGAGTCTTTCATTTCCTTAGCACAAAACACACGCTTTTCGATTTTCCGCGCTTCCCGCGTCTCCTCTCCCCCCCGCTCAAGTTCCACTTCACTCCGCGTCCGGCCACACGTTTTGGGGGCCCAGAAACAAACAAAAAATTCCACCGACTGCTCTGTCACGCTCACTGTTTTTGGACCTCTGGAACTGCGCTCTGGGCCTGGGCCTTAGAGTTTATTTCGAGTCTTTTCCGTCTGCGGCGGTGGAAACGTCGTGCGCGCTGTGGCTGCCAAAACGAGACTGAACCGCACCTGCGAGCGCAGCCTCAGCCTCAGCCTTTGCCTCCACCGCTGCCGCAGTCCGCTCTCGGTCTCGGTCTCAGTCTCGCTTTTCAGTCAGGGCGGCAGCGGCAGAGCCGACGGCGGCGGCGGCGGCGTCGGCAACAATTTTGCCACTTTGTCATAGGTGGGGTGGTGGCTTTGGCTTCCAGCAGCAGCGGTGGTGGCTCGTTGCCCAGGCCCGGGCTGGAGCGAGAGCGAGAGCGCTGTAGTGCTTGACGTGGCTCAGTCTCTCTCTCCGTTTGCGTGTTGCCGTCTCATTAGCCGTCCTGCTCTGGCTTAGGCGCCATGTTGTGAGCGAGCTGCTGGCCGGTGAGCGGCGGCCGAACCCACCACGTCGACCGAGCTCTGAGCCGTGGTGGGTTTCGCTCTCTCTCTCTCTCGGTCTCTTGGTCTCAGTTTTTATGGCAAGTCGTCGGCGAAACTGTGGCAAATGTCGGTCAAATGCCCTCGGAGCTATAATATTGAAACGATTGGAGTCTCTTCCTCTGTTTCTTCTGCAGTCTTCTCCTGCATCCTTCATCTGCTTCTAGTTGATGATTTTGGATGATTGCATGGAGTGGGCGGGACAGTGCTGGAGCATCAAAATGGCGCCATAACGGGGACGAGGAGTATTTGGGTTCAAACTGTAGTTCGATAAATATCGGAAAACTTGTGGGGAGCTTGAATTATCCGATGAGGATTCGACATTAAGGTCTTATACGAACTAGGACTTGCTTTAAAGATTTTTATTTAATTTTGTGGATTATTTTTGGAATTACTTTGACTACTTATATTCCATTTAAATTATTCAGGTATTTTGCTGGGTAATATGCATTTTTCGTCCTGCTCTCTCCTGCCTCGCATCAATATTTATCTTGAAAGGCTGCCAAGAAATGATTTTTCGATTTGCGGATGCTGATATCTGATCTGAATCTGAACAAAGAGAGTCAATAAATGTGTTAGCATTAACTGGCAAACAAAACAGGCTAATTATGTGGATGGACATGGTCTGATCAATAGATATGATATGATATGATATCACATGATGGATAAATATGCGGCTGGATGGATGCGGACAACTGTTAAACAGTTCGCAGAAGATAGAGGGGTGGGAAGAGGAGGCTTCCTGCAGCGACCGGAAAATACGGTCCGCCAACTGCATGCCCAAGAGCAGAGCCTGGCAACTGTCCAGGCAGCAGGGCGGTGGTCAGTGGCATAAGGCAGAAGGCAGTAACCATCGAGTGACTGGTAACTGGTAGCTGGTCAAAGGCGGAGACAACTGCGCATTGCGGTTTGGCCGCAGTTTTTACGAGCAGTACATTTGTTTTCCACATTTTGCTGGCTCGTAGGAGCTGGGAGACGGGAGCTGCTGTTGTGCGAGCACAATTATTATAAGCATTCAATTGGAATTGCTATTTGGCATTGGCATTGGCATGGGCATAGGCATTGGCCCTGGTATTCGCATTCACATTCGGATTCGACCGCAGAACGCAAAACGCAAGCGAGGGGAGTGGAGTGGAGTGGAGGAGGGCGACCACAGGATATGCGACCTCGTCTGCCAATTATATGCATTTAAGTGCAATAACCGTCATCAGGACGAAGGACACCGACACGGACACGGACACGGACACGAATGGCTCAAACAACGGTTCGATTGACTCCGCCAAGTCGCCTCCGACTCCAACGCCGACTCTGCTGCCGACTCCTTGGGCCCTGTGCGCCGCATTTGATGCTTGAGCAGAGACCAGACTCTAATTATTTTAATGCTCCTCGCAATTGAAGCGCGCGCTTGCGTCCTTCCTCCTGCTCCTTTGCTTCTGCTCCCGTTCCCGTTCCCTTTCCCGCTCTAATTTCGTTGCACCTCACCACTAATGACCTACGCAGCTCACCTGACCCCCGACCCAACTCCAACCCCCAACCACAACTCAGGGCGAACCGAACCGAACAGAGCCGAGCCGACCTTTTTCCCGGTCCGCACTCCCGGAATCAATACCAATCAAACGTGCGCCGCTCTCGACAAATTGTATTTCCACTACCCCTCCCCCTTTCCTCTTCCGCCCGTGAGAGAAGCAATTAGTCCTTGGCCAACATGTGGCCACAAACCGAACCGAACCCAGCCAAAGAAGAGCCGAGCTATTGGCGTGAAATTTTAATTGCCATCTCGTTGTCTGGGTGCATGGTGCATGTTGCATGGTGGATGGGGCAGAGCTGCCAGCTAGTCGCCACAGAGCCTGGGCTGAGGCAGAGGCAGGGGCATTGTCTTGATGCCATTCCAAGGAAGCTACGCAACGCCTATGTATGTTTTTTCCCAGCTCTTTCAACGTGTCATGGCTCTCGCCCTGTGCACTGTGTGGGAGAATATTTTACAACAAGGAAGTAACTAGAAATAGAGGAAGAAATTAGATGAATAGATTTGAAACAAAGATCGCCCATCAAGTACGGTTTTGCGAAACCTGAGTCCTCAGACCTGCTCGCGGTGTAGCACTTTGTGGCACCCTCACGAGCTAGAGAGATCCTTGAGACTCAGTCAGAGACTCAGATGAAGATCGCTTCATTTGGTATCTTCGAGGTTCCTTGGCCGGAGTTCGGATAGCTCCAAAAAGGGCCCCAGGGAACCGAAGTTATGGCAGTGATACAATAAGTAAAGGACTGTGTGTTTTGGGAACCCACGTCGTTCCATTTAAAATTAAATTTCAATTTAATGGAATTATTTCGACCATTGTTAGGCTTATAGTAAAAATTATTTACTATACTTCCCAAAATAGATTTGATTTCGTAAGCGATAATACCAATCATTGAGCTTCGATTGAGGATATTAGAATCAAGTCCCAATCGCAACATATAAAACTGTCCTTTTTTTATGTGGAAGAGAAACGATGTGAAAATTCAAAGCAAAACTTTGAGCTGGATTTCATTAATCGTTTTATAATCCAACAAACAAAAGATGATCGCTTCAGGTACGCTGGAAATAAAAATACCTAAAATCAAAAATCAAATAATTCGGGGCTTTCCCATACCAATGCCCGGCAATAAATTTTTGTATGTGAATATTACATCCATAAGTAGATGAAGTATCGGAGAAATTAGGACCTCGGGACTGTCGCTTTTTCCATTTTCGTGTGCCATTTCCACATTGCCTAGACAGAGACACTGGTCAGGATATCATATTCATACCTCTCGATTCGGACCTGTACTACATTGTTTATGGGTACCTTCTTCCTTTTAGGGCGTAGTGGAATTTGTCCAAGCCTGTCGCGAGGATAAGTGAGCTTCTGGCTTCTCTGAGCCTCTCTGGGAGGACACTAAAGGAATGTCCAAATTTCCATTCAACGAAATTCCGAATGAAAAGTCTTCCCCGAAAATGAACTCGAATCACCGATCAACCCACATGCGAAGCCCCAGCGGAATCCAAGCTCCTTTGGCAACCATCACTGGCTGGTCCCCATCTCGGTGCGTCCCTCTTTCTGGTGCGGAATCTTAATCGGCATCTTTGATATTATAATGTTCGTGTTGCTGCGTGGACAAACGTAATAAAATAACTGATCGTTGTCGCTGATAAGTTAATTTACTTTTAATGTGTTGCCCTCGACGAACCCTCGGCGAGCGAGCATCTTGCGACGTGGGGGTAAATGGCTCTGTAGGTGACAAAGGTTCTCGCTGGACCAAGTCCCGTCCGCGGCCAAGACTCAACCAAGACCAAGACTCTGCAATTCCTTGTTTTGGGCTCTTTTTTTTTTATCGGGATCTTACGTTTCACAGGATTTCGGGTATACTGTATTGTTGGAGATGTATGTAACTATGAACTTTTGTGATCAGACTCCTAATACCACGTTTCATTTAATTTCATTGAATGCTTGAACACCTGTCTTTCGAGCAGAGCTAGAGGGTGCTAGAGGGACGCGATTTTGAGTACTGCATGAATACCGTTACCCCCTACTCTCACTCTATCTCTTCCTTCGCGCTCTTCCCAATGACGGAGTAACGGCCGGAGGATTCTTCGCTGGTGGGAAGCGAGTGATAGATGCAATGGTATGGTAACATCTAGATTCAAGATCGCTGGTCATTAGATGGAAAGAGGCTTGACAGTGTTTATGTATTGTTTACAAATAATGTACAGAAACGGAGTACCCTCTGCTAAGCTGCTCTGCAGATATTCCAACAAAAGTTGAAATAAACCCACAAAATACTCAACCCCTGACTTCATCGATCCGCAAGGGTAACAAGATATTCGGTCCCACAGGTAGGCTGCATTTTTCGTTTTATTTTTAGTTGGTCTCGCTTTTTTTTGTTCGTTGGTCGCGTGTGCCGTCGATGGCCAACCTTGTTGCCAACTGATTTGTCAACAACGTGGCCAACAAAGGTGTTCTCTCCTTCTCGCTGGCGGGGCCAATTTATCGCTGCTCCAGATCAGTCAGCATGCCAGCAACACCAACAACTACAGGATAAACATAAAGCCCCGATTCCGAGTCCGATTCCGATTCCGATACTTGGGCCGACTCTTGGGTCGCCATCCGTCGAAGTCGTTCCAGAGCGGCGCTCGTTTCAAAATTGATGTCGCCGCACTAAATGGATGCTATTTAAATTTTTACTGCCTGCCAGCGACTATAAATCCAATGCATGCCTGGATCCTAGCCAAAAAGAGACGTAAGAAGGCCCAAAGAAGGCAGGGTCTGAGCCTTGGTCGGCTTTTAATGGCTCAGCTTAGCCTGGACGGC